GATGCAGAATTTTAAACACAACTGAGTTTATAGCTATGAAACACAAATGTGTTACAAATATATCCTTTGAGACTTTCATAATACTCACATTTATAAATCGTAAATATTTGATTAATCTTTGCAAGTCTGGGTCAATTACTTGAGATGATCATAGTCTTTTTTCTCTTTGAATACTACAGTATGTAATACTTGCCACTAAGACCTATGACCTGTGGATCATATCTTTTTAATATCTTGTCCGACTGCATTCCAATTTCCGACCATCTGCACTTACACAATAAGTGCACAGATTATAATTAGGGCAGGGGTCCATAATATTCGTGTCCTAAGGTAGTCCTGGGGGCCGGTTCAGGTCCAGGGATTAGGTCTAGCATTCTCTTTGAAACTCGATATCAAAGTAGGCAAAACCCATTAATGGCTTCAGTTCAAGTTCAGTTTAGGGTCAACAAAAGTTCAAGTCAGAAGCCAAAGGTATGCCATGACGTGTCAACTTGGCATTGTGCCCATTAGAAATAAAGGACATTCTTTAAGAGTATTACTAACTGAAAATCTGTTCTACTTTGACAAATTCTTTAGATTCAGCACTAGAAATACCTAAAAAAAATTTGCAGAAAAACTGTAAAGACTGTAGAACAGACTAGAAATACAAATATTTTCAATTCGCAATAGCTATTGACAGTCTGCTCTCTCATAAGCATGTTTCAGAATTTTCGAGAACTTGTAACTGATGAGATCATATGGAGGTTCAACCCAAATAGGTTTAATACAACCTCCTTGTTCAAGCTCAAAGTTCCATCAATCATTAGAAGGAATTTGTGCTGAGTCACTAGTGGCTGGGTGATTACCTTATATCTCTGTTAGGTAACATTGCACAGTGAGTTTATTTTGCATTGTTCAAACGATGCGTAAATCAGTGATCATATCACCTGTTACCACTGTAGTACATATGTATGTGCAACCTGCACAGTACACTGAAGTTGCACACTTGCACTTGTAGTAATTGGTATTTATCTAGTAAACACCAACAATTTATCCAATTTGCTTCCAACACCTTCACTCTCTAGACTGGCTTGGTTATCAATTTTTAAGACAATCTGGTTAATGCTCAGTACTCAGTATTCAAAGTCAACCTGAGAAAACCTAATTATCTTTGTTGTCTTTGCATATGCATGGAGGTCTCTTCTTACCTCCATGGCATATGTGGCATCATGTTTAATTTCATAAACAGCTGATTTGAAAACGCGCCTCATCGATAGAAAACATGTGCAAGGTTTTATATGCTATTCTATGTCATAAAGACACGATAGGGAGCTCGTACATGCTGTGGACTTTTTCTTTTATTTCTAGACACTAGTAGACAGCATAATTTGCTAACGAAACTTTGAACATAAATAATTTTCTTCCCTTTTGGGCTCCAACACGGAAAACGTGGCCGTGGCGTCAGTAGGTCACAACGGTTTAACATCTAATAAAATGGCCTGACGCAAGACTTGAGTACAGAATGCAAAAATAAACATTGTTAGCACAATCCCGCTTTCTTGCAAGCATCCACATACACTGGATACTCACCCAAAACGTTGATCCACAGAACCGGTCCAGCCCCGGGTACTGGCTACCCGCCATGTTGTTCGCGTCCGCGTCCTCCCGATCGGGCGATACCAAATGCGGGGGTGGTCGGGTCAAACGTCCGAGCGGTTGGAAGAATGACTGTGCACTTTACGCAAGTGCAATACTTGAGAATTTCGCATGATGGCGTAGTTGTACCGTGAATTAGGTCAACCAATGGGTCTTTGATAATTCAGTACATCGACAAAGATACTTATGAATGGCTTCAAGGCTCCTTTCCTTCCACACCGCCACCCCAGAGTTGCAAGCAGAGAAAACAGCACATAGCAAGGGGCGTGTTGGTTTTAGAACAAAGTTCAGGACTTGCATCTAGGATGAATTTACACAAGCAAGGACATTATACACAAGTAAGGGTCTTTGAAGATTTCATGTCATTTATTTATATAAAAGTTGCTTTGTTGTTCTCATATGATGATACAAACAGATGTGATACATATATATAACTATCATATACATCTATACTCGAGGGCAAGTACAGCGACTTAAAATAAAGACATTACAAAACTGGTGGTTACAGAAGCATAACAGGTGGCATGCATTTTAAAAAGACATAACTGCCATTGCTAAAGTACAAACAAGCACATTGATATAGATTATAATTGTGCTTTGCCAAAATATCGTGCAATGATGTATGATAAGAAACATGAATTTTAAAACTTCTATAAAGCAGAAACCTTAAAGATTATTTCACATTCAATATCTTTGATATTTCTACATGTGATGTAATTGAAAAGCTAGGAAATTGTTGTTCAAAGCAACAATAAAATTGGACAAAGGACATAGAATATCTCATGGTCTCAATTAGATTTTTTCTAGAATAAAAAGTAACACCTCTTGGGTAATTAATTTTACTATCTTTTGCATATTTAGTTCCTTCAAGTATCAATGTTGCCAGCATTACATGCAGCAATCAAAATATACAACTCTTAGTATTTTCTACAGTTCTCAACAAGTAAAAGCTGAACATGTTCTGTCTTCTAATAAACTTGAAATACAAAGCAGACCTACATGAACTTGCCAAAAACTGAGCAAAAGAGAAAAAAGCTATTATAAGCAAAAAGCAATTGAAGGTTATAAGAAGTTAGTTCTTGGACATCTGGAGCCACTTATGGAATTTCATTTTATTCTAGCTATGACACATTAATGCACAACTTAAGAAAAATAATCAAATGTACATTTGTACATTAGTAACATATATCAGACATGCAACCTCAAACCCCACACTAGCAAAAAAAAATCAATATTTCTAATTTCTATATCCTTTAAAAGAACCTGGCATATTTCATATGCATCACGTTATTTGTCAGCACTGTCTACTATATTTTGTTGAGATATTTATGAAGAGGATGTATTAAATGACTACTGGCTGTATCAACCATTTTTGTGATTTCCATACACAACTGTTACAACATACTAGTATGCCCAGACAGGGTTGTTAGTGACTCTGTCACTGTTAGACTCAAACCAATGCCAAGGAGTGGGTGTGAACACGCAAACATGCTCCAATACGTGTTATGATTGCCGGCAGAAAAAAACAACATTCTATTAGTATTACTGTCTCTTGGATTGGATTGATATATAGACTCATTACATAATACATAATATGTGCAATGATCCATCCACCAGTTAGTACACATTTGAATGATAGTTTAACTATCTGTAACCCTCATCACCCTACTGGTTCCTGTTGTAAAGCTTGGGGAATGGATACACTCCTAGCAAGGACGAATTGAGGGATTATAAAATTCTTTTACATTTGCTATTAGCCACATTGTTTGACTGTAATGTCCTGGCAAAGGAAGGGGGAATGACTGGTATACTGCAAGCATATCCAATACTAAAGTCTTTTATAGTCGCTAATCGGAAGCTTGGCTGCTTTCCTCACTCCCAGCGACTGTTGGTTTGTCCATGAAGGCCAGAACTCTCTCCAGCCACTTCTTGAACGGTTCGAACGCCTCCAGAGGAGGTGCGGGTATGCCGGCGTCCCAGGATTCCTTGGTGCAGTACTGCAGCATGGCGCGGAAGCGGATGGCGAGGCGGAAGTCCATGGCCTCCTGGAGTTTGCGGAGACAGATGGGGCAGAGGTCGACGGGGCGTCGGTCCGACTCGTCCCGACTGTTGGAGCCGTTGATGCAGCAGGAGAAGTAGATGCAGTGCTTCATGCCAAACATGTGACACAGCTCATGTGTCATCACCTAAAGGAGAAACAATATGACCATGCAAAAATAATAATCAAACTTAGAATGCAAATGCAAATTCTTCATCACTTGAAAAGCTTTTAAAAACATTGGAGATTTTAGACTTCCAGGAGGCTTCCTTGGCTTCCTGAATTCCCCCATGTTGACCACTAGTAATTCCTGCTGGATTCTAAAAAATTCTGAGACCTTCAAGTTCATCCTGTTTCCTGTGTCTGACATTTTGACCTACTATGTAGTAACTACACAAATTATGATGGAAATACATGTAATGAAAATTTTGACAGATAACATATTACATTTAGTATGTCAACAGATAACCTGGATTTTTATAAGTGACATTTATGACATTTAGTTGATGATATGTAAGATGTGCCCTCTGACCTTGCAGGCTCGGAGCAGAAGTGGGCTGGTGACTGGCGGCATGCTGAACTCTTCCAGCTCTGACTTCTTGGCTTTCGGCCGATCTCGTGGGATGTGGTAGAAATTGTCGTCGTATCGAGCAAAGCTGAATACACCGCATCTGGAAAGAAATTAGGAAAAAATCTTTGAGTTTTTAAGTTTGGACTAACTAAGCAATTAATAAAAGGATTCTTACAGGCTGACTGTCAAAGGACATGACAGCAAAATTTATATTTTTCTCAATGTAAGATGCAATGTATTATACAGATAAGGTTGCTTGTGTAGTACAAATATGGTGTTAAGCATAGAAAAAAAATTTTTAAGTCAAAATTTGGTACTGAAAACTATCTGTTTCATGCTATGCGCTAATGGCCGCAAATCAGGTCAACAACCTAAAATTTAGGAGTATCGAAATCATATTAAGAGGTTGTCAAATTTAGGAAAAATACAACCAGTTGATCATTCAAGTGTTTAAAGTTTAATTCCAGATCTTCCCATGGCCAGCAAAGATGTACTGGCATATCTGTAAGAAGTCTCATTCAAGGGTATCTTCACAGTTCACAGGCCTTAAATATTTTCGAAATTTAACATACACTGTATATTATGTACAAGATCATGTTACCATGGCAACAGAAATACAGACCCTGTAACGAGAGAGGCCTGTCCGAAGACGAAGTTCCAGGAGTCGCTGGGGTACAGGTCCAACATGGTGACGGCGACCAGGCAGATGGCATCGCGCGGTTTCTTACTCACCAGGTAGTCCAGGATGTCCTTGGACAGCAGCTGCCATTGCTATGGGAAAGATAGAAAACTTCAAGGTAACATCTTCAAAGCAAATGCATATTTTTTTACACCTTCACATAGGGATGGTCTAGCTCAACAAACTACTGCTCTGATAATTCTTACTGGAACACATCCACATATGGTGGTCAGCCTCTCCAACCGTCCTGATACCTAATGTAAGTCCCAACACCACAGGGTCCATTACTCCAACTTGAGGGTGAGGAACATGTTGAAACATGCTTTACGTATTCAAAGTTAAATAAAGGTTGAAGAAAAGGTACCTTTGTATGCTCGTTGATCCTTGTGTGGCATCCAACCTCGCGAACCCGCACCGGGTCCAGAAACTTGACGTCCACGCCCAGGAAGAAACACTGGCAGAACTTCTGCAGCCACGTCAGGAGGACCTTGTCTGACCTTGAACCTGCACAGGCCCCGCCCTCGGCCCCGCCTGCAGCTCCCCTGTCTGAAGAACTGCCATCAGCTTCTGTAGACACATTTTACAGTGTGTTAAGCTCCTGTCGCACATAGCTGAACATGGCCCCCGAACACTCGCCAAACTCCCCTCAACCATGGTGAGGAGTATTGCCCTGTCTCTGGGACCCATGGGAGACCAACTAGGAAACAAATAAGCATTACAAAATCAAATTAGTGAAAATTTTTAACGGTACAGTACTCCCTACTTAGTGACTTGGATCTGTGTTTGATCTGAAATATTTCTGTGGTACCAGTACACAGCCCTACTGTAGATAGACATGTAGAACACCTGTTTCACCTGTGGTTGTACCTGGAGCTGCAGCTGCAGACTGTCCTACATGCCCAGGTGGAAACGGCCCCAGAGGAAGGATGTAGATGGTGCGACGTTGGCGATTGACTCTGTGTTGGGGGTACTCCTTAGTAAACCTACAATGGAAACAATTTCATCATGTTACACTGTCATTAAACAGTCTTAAACATTAACCCTTCTGTCAAGTCTTTTAATGGTTTCAGCATGCATTGTGAGAAAAATAGTTTAAAAACTTACCAATCATGAAATGTCTGCCCTGACTCTGGGTGGTTGTTTAGCCAGTCAGACTCGTCTTCTATCGTCAGTGGTTTCCAGAACTCGCTGTTCTCACTGTACGCTTCCTCAAAGTAACGTTGCTCGGCTGCCTTCAATTTCTACAGTAAAGTAACATGTAATACATTTACTCCTGTTTATATATATTATAAATAAACTATGTGTATCAATACAATAATTGATATTTATGTTTAAAGGTGAAAATGTACAGTGTATTCAAGAACATTAATTAATATGTACTTGCAATTATGAAATTGTCAGTACCTCATATGTCTTTGAACTCTTCTTCTCGTTCGGGTCTGGGAGCATGGCTTTCTTCCGTGTTTCGGCATCGGCCGTGGCAAACTTTGGTGAGATCATCCGCATCAGCTCCAGAATCTCGTCCTCCGTCAGCCCCTGTAGCAGCTGGCGGATCCGTGCTGACTCCGATCTGGACGTCATGTTCAACTAGGCCTAGGAAAAAAAATGTTGTGTATCCTGTTTCAGTCCTGAAAAAAATTAGGGTCGGTAGGTAGGGATTATTATTTTTTCTTTAATAGTAATAATATTATGTTTTTTTTTGGGGGGGGAGGACTTTGGCTATCACTAACGTTAGTGATCCCACTTTTATTACAATACAGTTAACAATCTAACAAGTAAAACTTGCACGAGGACACTAATATAGTTTCTATGTTGATGTTGGAAAACCAATTGCACAAGGTTTCACTCAGGTGTCAGATGATATAATTAGAAAAGGTCCATCAGATTTCCTCATTGACATTATGTTTTTTGATGATGATGATGTATTTTTGGCGACGCCTCAGGGGCGGAGGCATTTGTGTAAGTACTACGATCGCTTTGAAAGAATTTCAAAAATTGCACGAATGCATTCCCTAGGGAATTGGTTTTGAGGTAGCCTCTGGCCTTGTGGTCATCAGACCAAGCAGAAAAGGC